CCAGTGGAAGGATGCGTAAAGCATTTCCCAGACTCAAAAAAAGTGCGAAAAAATACGTTGGCGCCTTGACATGAAATATATATTACACAATTTAGTGAAAATAAAAATTATGTGTTACAAACCCGTATGAACGACTGATTCCTTTGACTGACTTGAGCATTTCGTATTTTCAACTTGATACTTTAACACTTTCCTAATAAATACAGCAGTACTATTCTCTAAGAACAAATTAATTTTTCACCTCAGAATCCACCTGGTTTTAAAATTAAAACACGAATTTCAAACAAATTTAAAATCACACGCGCTTTTTTTTTTAATTTTTTTTCTACCCATCAATCATCAATTAGCCTAGCCCCAAAGTAAGCACTGTAAGAGGCTTGTGTTATGGGATGCTAGGGTAACGGATCGAATACATATACTGTGCATATATAAGTATATTTATATAGAAATACACATTAAACATCCATGACTGGAGTACAAATGCTCGTATTCATCACACAAACATCTGCCCCCACAGGGATTCGAACCCGGGACCTCTCGAGTCGGCGACACCATGAAACCTGGCGTACAAACCACTCGGCCACGGAGGTCGTGGGAATTGAGCCGTGAAAAGTGATTTTATTCTTACAGATGCACTGTAGGTTAAAAACATAACATAAAAGGATCTTCTAAGACAGACGGACAACGAAATGATTCTTTAAGTGGGAATCCATCATTTAATCGCAATTCCTTTCAACGATTTTCATTACCAATAAAACGAATCGCAGAACTTTTTTTTTCAACATTTAACAAACCCTAGAATTAGGTTACATCGCATTTTCGTTTCCTCGAATATTTATTATCTACAAACACAGATCATTGTTATTTCATCAATTTTTACTTAAAAAAATCAATATACACACATCAAAAGTGTCTAGGGATCAACATATATTTTTGCAATAACTTTTCTCCTGATTGATATTAATTAAAATTTTCTTTAAGGATTCATCAAATAAAGTGTTTTCGTTTGTCACAGTAACGATAAACCAAGTCACCTTTGCATTAATAAAGAAATTTGCCATTTTCCTAATAAAGGGATTTTTGACATTTGAACCACTAACACAAAAGTTCGAAAAAAAGACTGAAATAACAGTTTTCTCTAAAATTTTATTGGGTAACTTAAACAATTAATAATCCGTATTTCTACCGCGAACACTAACAACACAAGAACATCGGTTTGGCATACTCAAAATGAGTTCATCCAAATCACGCTGTGGAATGGCCGCCCATGTTCGTTGCAACAACAAAAAAAGGTCTTCTTGCAACTGGATACCCTCCATATTCGGCAGAGCTCTTCTCTGTAGCATATCCCATGCATGCTCAATCGGGTTCAAGTCTGGCGACTGAGCAGGCCAGGGCAGGACATTGATGTTAGCTGCGGCGAGAGTCTGTCTTACAACTCTTGCGGTGTGCGGTCGTGCATTATCATGCATTAACTGAAATAAGGGACCGATTTGCACTTGTAGAGGAACGATGACGTCTGATACAATCGTCTCAGCATAAATTTGAGCGTTGAGGTTGCCTCTGATCCAAATCAACTCAGTTCTTCCGCCGATCCAAATACCCGCCCATACCATGATGGTTCCACCACTATAAGGATGGACTTCCTGGCAGGATTTTAATCGCTGTTGGCGTCCAGGGGTTCTCCAGTGTCGTATACGTCTTGTATCCGGTCTCATACCAAAACGAGACTCATCAGAAAAGCACACGAAACGCCATTGTTCTTCTGCCCAATTTCTGTGTTCAAGAGCCCATTGATATCGAATCCTACGATTGTGCATTGCTATAGGTGGTACCCGTAGCGGTCTTCGGGAATGAAGGTTCACTTCATGCAAGCGGTTTCTGACTGTTTGGTCGCTAATTAAGTTCCCTGAAGAGTGATGAAGCCTCACGGCTAACATCATGGCGGTTATTGTTGGAGCTCTTCGAGTTAAGATTTGAATGTATCGGTCTTGTCTCCGTGTGGTGCAGCGATACCGTCCTCCATGGCGCTCAGCCACGGTACCAGTGCTTCGGTATCGTGTCCAAAGTCGACTGATAACACTCTGACTTGTATTCAGAGCTAAAGCCACAGTACGTTGCCGGGAACCAGCTTCTATCATTCCCACGGCTCTGAGCATTTCTTCCCTGCTTAAATGACGTCGCCGCTCCATAATAACGTTGGTTTTAATCAGTAGTAGGGAAACAGTAGCACTAATAATGTCTTCAATGCGTTGTATGTTTTTATAGGGAAAATATTGACAGCTGATTTTCATCTTTTACTCGAATTTGATTCACAGTTCCTGATTCAAATTATGAAATGCACCAAAAAGGATCCATATAAATTTATAAAATCATAAATTTATTACAAAGCCACATCTCAATCTCAAGAAATCCGCATAAAAATGCTTGATCCCTAGACACTTTTGATGTGTGTACATCGAAAATACGATTTCATGATGTCTTTTTAGAGTAAAACCCTCTTTAAGTTCCATTGTTCGGAATTCTAGGATTAGTATAATATTGGCAATTTTAAATAACCCTTTCGTTTGCAAATGTATTTGATGGGTATATAATATAAGTACAAAATTTATTTTAAACCCTACAAATATTTTCCTAACTAAATTACCTTTGCCTATTGCGTTTATGTCTAATCTATTGCGCTTTTTATACTATGACAAAATCAAAACTTACACAGTGTTAGTACAGTTATACCAGGAAGAAGTTGCTAATTATAACGGCTTTGTTAGGTAATAATAAAAGTGATATTTAATGAAATATATTCATTATCTCCAACTCACCTCCGAGGTTAGTCTAATAACAAATTGAATGTTATTTCTGTCATTTATTTACGCGATTACGGCAAAATAAAAAAAAGCGAGTGTGCTTATGACCACACGACTGAAGTGAAACTTTTTTAGCTCAAATGATCTGAAAATCATAAACTTAACCTGAAGATTTGTTGATAGAAAAAAAACCACCAATCCGCGCTGGGTCCGTTGTCATCCATCAATTCGCACTGGTTCCGTTATCACCCACCAATCCGCACTGGGTCCGTTATCACCCACCAATCCGCACTGGGTCCGTTTTCACCCACCAATCCGCGCTGGGTCCGTTATCTCCCACTAAAGCACGCTCCGCGGGCGAGACAGGCGCGCAAAAGTTATGTGTGAGCAAATGCTCATAACTTGACTAAAACTTGGTTCTGATTGCGTCGTTGCTCTCGGGTGTAAGCGCCTATTGGTTCGATTGTTTGATGTCGTGATGTGATTGGCTATTATCTATTAGGCGGAAGTTTAGCGAGCCGGCGACATCGGTTCCCGTACAAACGGTATCCGATTAACCTTTTAACCTATTTCTGTGTTCTATGGGCACTCTAAGCGGAAAATCCGCTGTGTCCTATTTCTCTTGTATGGTGTGATTCAAATTCAAAGGCGGCTCGTAACAAAGAATGAAAGGTTTTATATAGCAAATTGGCCCTACCAATATCTAAACTCAAATTGGTCCAAAGTAGCCCTTTTGTAATGTGTCAAAATATACAACAGATTGCCATTATCTTTGAAAAATTAGAGTTATCTGACTGGGTTTAAAAACAAATTGAAAAAGCTCCTTTGTTCAAAGGGCTACTATACACTGCAAGAGTATTTTAATGACAAGGAATTAAAATGATGATTCTTAGTAATTTAATGTGATATAATTTATTTAATAATATAATGTTTAATTTATTTAATGCAATTGTTATGACATGGAATTATATTAATTTTATTAATAAGTAAGATTTTTTATGTGTTTTAAATTTATATTTATTTATAGAAAATTCAACAAGCTCTTTAAATCATATTGCTATGAATAAAACTAGTTTTTACGGGTTAATGCACGAAACTTTATTCATTTATTGACGTTTCGTAGCCTTTACAGGCTTCGTCGTCAGAATTCGTAGCCTAGCGTAGCCTGTAAAGGCTACGAAACGTCAATAAATAAATAAAGTTTCGTGCATTAACCCGTAAAAACTAGTTTTATTTAATGAGTGATGTGCGTGAAAACCTAAGAAACAAACATATTGCTATGCCCTAGCCAGGTTCGTGTAAGGATCTCAATGAACGCTTTGTAACACCTTTGTACACCTACGAGTACATGAAAAAGCAATAAATATGATGATGATTATATGCAGGCGACATTGTGGTTCATACATTGTCACTATTTGGTCACTGTTTAGGAAAGGACTAAATCAGACCAATAAGACTCTCCAGCTTGTTGGTATAAATCAATTTGAACCTTTTATAGCTATTCAAATAGGGTATGTTGTGACACCAACCAGGGTGACTAATTTAATATTAAACATTTAGTTGACCATATTCAGTTGATTCGCCTATTACTCATTATTATACTATTGGATGACTATTGATGCCTCAAAAGAAAAAACAATCTTCAAACAATGTATGTATGAGTCATTATTAAACTAAAGATATAATTAAAGTAACGCGATATGGCAGAAAATCTTTGTATGAACACGTCCGTGGCTGCAAAAAGGTGTTACTTTGTGACAAATAAAAAAAAATTTGGGAAATGCAAGTCATAAAAATTACTTTTAAATAAATCAAGTTTCACTGGGATAGATGCACTGATTTATATATTTATTGACGTTTCGCATCCTTTGCAGCACACGTCGTCTGATTTATCCTGTAAAGAATGAGAAACTAAAAAAAAACAGTGCCATCTATACCGGTGAAACTTGTTTTATTGAATGATTGGTGTGGGTGATAATCAAAGAAACAAATAATTACTTTTAATAAATATTTACCCACTTAAAAATATTTTACGTCTAATTTGAATTAGAAATGGTTTCTAACCAGTATTAACAATATAAACGCAGTGTAAAATAAAGACGTTTGCTGGATCTTAATTATAATTCGCGCTTTTATTGAAAATTTATTATAGTAATATTTTTCGTTCATTTAAAAATATGTAATTTATATCCATACCTGCCACCTTGATCTTCATTTTGATTAAAAAATAATAATTCCAATAAAATTCACAGCACTAAAAATATCACACTTCACTCACTTCGTATTCACAATATGAAAATTTAAAATATCATAATTTAGTTTAAATTAAAAAAATAATTATTAAAAAAAATACTGTAATTGTCTCTGGTAGGCGGAAAAGCGCGCGAAACGTTACGCGCGCACTGACAACTGTCAAAGTAAAATCGAGTTCAGTTTTTCCAGGTTATCCGAACTTCCTTGTTATAATAAGTCCAATGTCAGAGAAGCGCATAGTCAGCTGCAGTCTTGTGTAAGCAAAATTGTTATGCTTGCATCGATCGAAAACTGCATCTCTCATATGATTCTGTTATACGATGTTATAGAGAACTTTTCGAGAGATATTTTTTAGACTCCTGTTAAGATTTAAAATTTTTGTTTATCGATGATGGAAATATAAATTAATATAAGTAGTAAATATCTTAGTACAATGATGGGGCGGGATATTGAATCTGTAAACAAGAAATAAAAACTTTGGGATAACCCTTTTCTATGGTCTTCGAATATGTAAATAGCTCAATCCATAAACTTTGCATAACTACGAAATCTTTATCTACGTTTAAGAAATCATGGTTTTGTCTATATTTGTTTTTATATAATTGCACACAAAGAACATCATTATGAAATAAGCACTACAATAAAATTATAAAAGAAAATCTGACTCATAATAATTTCCATAAAAATTGGGATAATATTGTAATGTATTTTTCAGAGTCGTCTTAAGAGCATAGTGAATGCAAATAAAATGTAAGTTTTTTATTGTCGATACATTTACTCTCGATTCCGTTATAAGTGATTAGTTAGTTCAGCGTTTTACTAAACGGTGGCAGTCGCTATGACCTCATTACAGATAACGTGTGCTCTACACAAATATCATCTTTTTAAAACATGTAAGATTTTATTGTTCAAAGACTACTTTACTAGGCAATAGGGGTTTCAACCAGGGGCGTCTCGACGTTTTAATCGAATAAATCTCGAAATAGACATTATTTCGACTAGAAAACTTCGAAGAAGTCGTTTCGCGGGGTCAGCGGGGGGGAGTCGGGCGGTCACGGGGTTCGAGGGTCAGGTGGGGTTCTTTAGAACTTTTAAAAGATAACAATTCGATCATACATGATTTCGAGTAACTTTACAGTTTACGCAGCGCACACAGTGGAAGTTCTTAAATGGAACTATATTTTCCCGTATTTGCAACATTTTTCACTGGGGTTCCACTATAATAATAATCAAAATCATTTATTCAGTTAAGGCTGTTACAAGCTCTCATAAATGTCTAGAAGCTACGCCATCGGTTCGTAAATCTACGGCGGAAGTCCTTGTACTGAGAAGAACCGGCAAGAAACTCAGCAAGGGCTGTTTTTTTTTCTCCGTTTTATTATTTACAGAGTCGTCAAATTGAAAAATGACTTCAGAGACGATTCATGATATAATGATTAAATACATACATACATTAATTGTTTACCTGAATTTGGATTGCTGTGTCATACAGTATAAATACAAATAGGGGTATTTATATTAAGTGTAACTAAACATTAACATCTTCAATATCAAAGAAGTTAGGGCAGACTCAATTTATAAACAAAAATATGAACTCTTAAGTACTATCCAACACAAAAATATTTTTTCAAATGGAACCCAGCCAAACAAACATTTTAGCCTTAACAAATTTACTAGACAAAAGATTTAAACATCTAGCAGTTTTTTAAATGCTTAAACAATAAAAATATAAACTTTTTAGCTCTATATCATTAGTATAGTAAAAATCCATCAGTTGTTTTTGTTATTGTCTGTAAATTAGAGTTGTCCAGATTCACATACACATTATGAATTAAACGTTATATCGTTACATGTAACATCCATCCATCCGCCCATGATGCGTTCATCAATGGGCGGTATTGTAATATTCATACTTCTATAACATTTCCTTATGTATATTTAGGTGTTATGCTTTTACATCTACTGCAGACCAATTTTAGTGTATTATAGTTTAATGATAAACGCTATATGTTTAAAAATAATAAAGTTTGTAGGAAGCCAAATAAGGGATAAAAGTTTTTATGGTAAACCAATTATTCGTTGTACTACGAAATTATATGAATTATACTAACTGATAACTAAAGAGAAATTAATTATACCTAATGTACACGTAATATAGTTTGATAAGCCATTGAAGATTTTAATATTATACAATAACAGTAACATCAATTGTATAATAATTAAGCAATTAAATTGATAAAATTATGAATTGTGTAAAATGTTATTTCGCTATATTGCAATCAAGCAATAATACCGAGACTCAGCGTGGGCCAAACCTGACAAAGCAGACAAGTTATTCAGCCTCACGCCGCTCTATTGTCTATGGTGTAAGGGCCATTACATCTCCTTTGTTTATGGTAACTCGTAACCCAAGTCAACTGTCGTAGGATCACTTCAATAATGTGATTTCAAATGACATGTTTGATGTTCTTTGAGGATTACTATCTTTGTTTTAGTAAGTGCCATTTATAATGTTAAGTGTATTAATATGTTATTAGTTGAAAATAATGTAAATAACAGATTAATGTTTTTAAATACATACCCGCATGATTATCGTAGTGATGAGTCCCTTATCGTGAGTAGGGTTGCAACCCGTACTTTATTATAAAGTATTGTACGTTATTTCGGGTAATTGTACTCTATACTTTATGCCAACAATAAAGTACGCGAAAATACTTTATTTAATGTGATTTGATTACTCGTGGATTAATTTTACATAAAATATACAAAAAGAGGTTGATAGGAAGATTTTTTGCGTAAAACGGACAGAAAGTATGAATATGTTGCCCTTAGCTAATTCCTGCAACATTTTCGTGGCTGTATGCCTTTGTATCATGACCTTTTCCATTGCGAAAAAAAACTACATTAGCCGTAAATTATTTATTAAAAGTTGCTAGTAGCAACGTAAAAAATATTTTTAAGTTTACTAATAAAGTGATACTCGATGGCGCAAGTGGCGTTAGCGCGTTCGGCTGCGATCGTTGAAGTTAAGCAACTGTCGCAGTGGTCGGTCATTGGATGGGTGACCAAAAATTGACTATCTCGAGCTCCTCCGTGCTTCGGAAGGCACGTTAAGCCGTTGGTCCCGGTTGCGTCTGCAGCCGTTAGCACCCACCAATCCGCCAAACCCGCGTGGTGGGTTATGGCCCAATCTTCCTATTCCATCCATAGGGAAGGCCTGTGCCCCAGCAGTGGGGACATTAATAGGCTGATGATGATGAATAAAGTGGAATAAAAAGTACTTTATTTTGGCGCAATGTACTTTTTTTTCTACATTTAATCACCAATGTACTTTATTTCGACAGAAACCCTACTCGTGAGGCACCACGTTTGAGTTCCTCACTATACTGATTGACACCATCAATGAGCATACCACCCAATTGGCAGGTTTAGATGTCCTAAGCTCCAAAAGTCACGGGTTCGTTTCCTGTTGGGAGTATTTATTTGTGTGGTCAGCACAAATAATTGTTTGTTCCTTCCCAAGTCACGATTTCGAATACATTCATTAACTCATTCTATAAATATATAAAAGAAAAAACTGACTAAGTGATTGACTGACTGACTGACGTAAAACTCACAACCCAAACCCAGTGGTCTAGAGAATCCAAATTTGAAGCGTAGGTTCCTTATGAAGTCCACTAAGAAAGGATTTTTCAAAATTCATCCCCAAAGGGTTTAAGGTAGGGGATGAAAGTTTGTATGAAAAATCTTATTCTTTTGTACGATGATCTTATAAGTTTGTATGAATAATCTCGAGTGACTTCTATCTTGGCACGAATACTTAGCTAAATGAAATAAAGTTTTTCATGTTTAGTTTTCCAAAACTGCCCTTTAAGGGGGATTAGAGGGTGCCGAAGTTTTTATATGGATTAAAAACACGCATTTAGATTAACTCAAAAACTCATTATTTATACTTGAGACTTGAAATAAAGGTTAACATGTATCAGCATTATTTGGAACTCTACCCCGGGGTAAAAAGCGGTAGTAAATAAAATAAATAAATAAATTCATCATCATCGGCCGTCAGGGCCGCGGTAGCATAATGGTATTCGCCCAGATAGCGAAGGGTGCGGGTTCGAGTCCCGTCTGCCACCTAGTCCACGTGGATTTTTTTGTAGTGAACTTTTCTTTAGATTTAAAAATTGACAGTTAAATGCTTAAAAAAAATAAAGTTAAAGCAGTGAAGTTTTTACTATACTTTCTGGGTTAGGGGTCGATTTCTTGAGCTTTTTGTATGTATAACCCTAGACTTTAATAGACTAATAGTTACATAAAATGTGAAATGTTGGGTTATGAGTAAATGATTATAATTATTATTTTATTATTATTATTATTATAGACTAGTGTGGGGCGTGGCAATATCAAAGCCACGAATCCATGGGCGGATGAGAACCTATGTGATTACATAACGGTGTAAAAGCTTCAATAGTTTTAAATCCTCTTATGAGCACAATCTCAATGTAATGCAGCAGTTACTCACTACACAAAGCCAACCACCCCCGAATCATAAATTAAACTAATATATTTAAAGGTTACGACAGGAGAGCAAATAAATCAACTGGCACAAAAAAGGTCGGATGCGATTTGTATTGTCTATGCTCCCGATGAATAGTCTGTGGTACGTGACCGGGAAAGCGCGGGACGTATTACGCGCCTTCGACGGCAAGTATCGGTGTGTGTCTATGACCGATATTATGTTTTGGCGGGAATACGTTTATCACAGGCGCGGTTTATGTATTGATTTTTTGGCGATATTATTTGTTATAATAGTAGCTATTAGTATAAGGTGTATGTTAGGAAAATCTCATTTATCAATGTCGCTCGTATAGACTTTTCTAGAAGTTTTATTTAGTTTTATTAAGAATGGGTTTTATCTTTATAAAAGTCTACCGTTACCGATTAATCTGTCGTCGCACAGCTCAAACCATTGCGCTGAAATTTGGCGCAAAGGAAGTGCTTTCCAGAGAACCTTCTTATCTGCCTTTGTGTCGAGATCTATAATAAAATACCATCAGACATCAAATTGCTAAATATGTACATGTTTAAAAATAAATTCAATACATAAAGGGCTAAATGGAAACAATTTCTATG